TGTAAGGAAACCAGCGGCTCCGGCACAGGCTGCTGAGGTATTTCTTCCCCGGAGCGTGTGTGCAGAGGGGTTAAGCAATCGGAGTTAATATTTAACTGGAAATCTGGGGGCTGGGCTGGCAGAGGGGGGTTTTTTTTGCAGCAGTAGGAGGGCGCCTCGCTCTGCTCGGTGAATTCTGCGCTCGTTAAGCCGCTGCCTGATGTTTAGCGGCGGGGGAAGAGGAGCAGGCAGGGGTTAAATTCGTAACCTCAACCCGTCTTTGGTCAGCGAACCCCAACAGCTGGGCGCTCCCCTGGCTTTCCCATTCCCCTGATCCAGGGAAAAGGCGAGGGATCCTACCAAAAGCAAGTTCCCGACAGATGATTTTATGGGATACACTCACCGGTTTAGCCCCAACAAAAATCCTGTCCCAAAAATACGTACAGCAGCTCCCTGGAAAGGAGACTTTACCCAAAAAGGAGCACTTGAGGCGCAGCAACGGATGAGAAAAGCCCCGCTGCTCCAGGCTGCGTGTCAGGGAGTATGCGAAAAGCTACAGCGGGGCAAACTCGCCTGAATTTTGTCAATCACTTCGTCTTCAAAGCGAGCGCCCCCTAATTTGAGGTTCCTCAGCTGGGGCAAGGCTTGGCACAAAGCAACGACGGCACCGGGGGAAATCTTGTGGCAGAAGTCAAGGCACAGCGTCTCCAGACACCGCAGGGTTGCTAAAGCAGCCAGGCCCGCGTTCGTCAGGGAGCAAGCGTTACTGATCTCCAGGAAGCGGAGATGTTTCATGTGGCGGCCGACAAAATCCATGGCGGAGTCGCCAATGACGCAGCAGCGCAGCACCAGGCTCTCCAGCTCCTCCAAGTGCGGAGCCGCTTTCTGAATCCCCACATCCGTTAGGCGGTAGGTGCCAGAAAGGCTCAGCGTCTTCAGGCGGCTCCGAGAGGAGATGTTCAATAAATGGCGATCGGAAAAGGCAGGGACGTTGTGGATGATGAGGTGCTGCAGCTGGGGCAGGGCAC